AGGTATATATATATATATATATATATATATATAAAGGCGTGTGCATGTTTGTATGTGTGTGTGTATATATTGAATGAATAACAAAAGAAGTTTGTTTCTTTTTTGGAGGTGGCAAGTTCCCCTATGCAGACGACCCCCTTTCCCACTGGGTTAAGCTATCATCCTGGTTCAGCGGACTCACTGCTGGATGTTAAATGTCAAATATTAGCCAATCCCTTCACTTACAGTGCCTTGCAAAAGCATTCCCCCTCCCCCCACAAAGTTTCCACATTTTGTTGCCATCTGAGCTTACAATAGTGGGACTTTCAAATGGGGCTTTATATCTAGAATCTAGACAACCTACTCCAAACTGAAGAAACTAAAAAAATGCTGATATTAGTAAGTAAGTTAGATTTTCAGAGAAAATTAGAATATTCTCAATTGCATAAATATTCAACCTCTTTGCTACAGCAGCTTTAAATCAGTTCAGGTGCAAAATATTAGTTTGAAATGTCACAATATTAGTGTAATGGTCTCTGCTTGTGTATAATCAAAGTGGTTTAGCTTGACTTCAGAGTAAATGCATCTGTTCAAACCACAACTCACATAGTGATACGACAAACCAACCATGAAGACCAAAGTGCTTTCCAAAATAAGTCAGGGATAAAGTGATAGAGAAGCACAGATCAGGAGAAGGTTACAAGAAAATTTCAATGTTGTTGATTATCCCTTTCAGTACGGTGAAGTCCATCATTAAAAACTGGAATGTGCTTCATACTACCCAGTCACTACCCAGATCAGGCTGCCCTTCCAAACTAAGCAATCAGGCAAGCAGAAAACTGGTTAAGGATGCCACTGTGAATCCAACAGTGGCTTTGAAAGATTTGCAAAGTTCCATGTCTGAGATGGGAGGCAGTGTTTATACATTGACAATATCCCAGTCTCTACACGAAGCTGGCCTGTATGGGCAAGTGGCCAGAAAGAATTCATTACTGAAAAAGAATCATCTTAAATCAAGTAAATGATACTGCAGATATGTGGCAGAAGATTTTGTGGTCAGACAAGACAAAAATTGAGCTTATTGGTCAAAATTCAAAGTGTCATGTCTGGACAAGCCCAACACAGCACATCATCCAGTTAATACCATCCAAACTGTCAAGCATGGTGGTGGCAGCATCATGTTATGAGGATGTTTCTCATTATCGGGGACTGGAAAGTTTGTCAGGATTACGGTGAGGATGGATGGTGCATAGTACAGTCGATTCCTAGAGGAAAACCTTCTTGAGCCAGCCAAGAATCTAAAACTGGGTTGAAAATTCACATTTCAGCAGGACAATGACCTGAAGCACAAGATCAATACCACATTGGAATGGTTTCAAAAGAAGAAAGTGAATGTCCTGGAGTGGCCCTGTCAAATTCATGACCTGAATCCAATAGAAAATGTATGCAAAACTTGAAGATTGCAGTCCATCAACAATCCCCAATGAACTTGTCTGAATTGAAGCAATTTTGCCAGGAAGAATGTGCAAAAATTACACCATCCCATTGTGCAAAGCTAGTTGAGACCTTTCCAAAATGACTCACAGCAGTAGTTGCTGGCACAGGTTCTTCTACAAAGTACTGACTTAGGGAGCTGAATACTTATGCAATCAGCAAATTTCAATTTATATATTTTCTTTGCAGGTTTTGCTAACATTCAACCTCCTTCACGCATAACAGTGTTACGTTTGATCATTGGAGTTTTGAATAAAAACAAGTTCATTAATAAAATTTTTTACATTATTTGTATTTCATCAAAATGTGACATTATTGGTAGGGGTGAATACTTTTGCAAGGCATTGTACTACATCATGAACCTTTCTGTAGTCTGGTGGTGGTGCAATAGCATTAGAAAAGTATATCATTATTACGTAAAATATTTGATGGCATTTTTAAGCCTTTTATATCATTAAATGTACTTACATAAATAATGAGAGATTTGTTGATTTCGTTTGAAAAGCCAACATACATAACAGAGAAATACATAACAGTTATTTCACCTTTAAATCTCTAGTCTGTGAAATCAGCCATTTGTTGATAAACTGTTGTGGATCTTTTGCAAAGCTAAGAAAGAACTCTCTATTGGTCTTCAGCTGGTTGATAGTTTCCACCGTTTCATGAATCTGTTTCAAAATTTATTAAAACACCATAGTTTTAAATACATTACATGGTAATTGCATACAATCCTTAAACATACTAACCCTGAATAATATCACAGAGGTTACAATTTATATCTAAAGTAAATTAGAATCTACTTATTAAAGATCAAAATGTGTGAAGAAACTGAAACTCTGAGTTTCAATTTTATACATAACATATTCCTTGTTCCTATAAGTAGCTAGGTGATCCATCAACAAACTTAAAAGAACACGATTTTACAATCTGACTAAATTTGTTTTTACTATCAAGCTAAAGAACGATAGAGATACGTGTATAAAAAAAAAAAGGTTATAGTACTAGACCAGGAGTGATAATTAAACTCAATCTTGACATTCTTAAAGTTTTCTATTAGCAAAAACAATTCAAAATTGCCGTAACTTTTTCCACTGACACACCATTTTCTTAGTATCATAACATACTTTTCCTATTCATAGTTTATATCACAGCTATGATAAATCATATTTTTAGTTGTTTAATAATAAAAAAAAGACATTTACAACTACTCAAATGAAAAGGAATAAGTAAACAAAAATTGCCTCAGTTTTATAGCACTATTCAGACAAGAAGACTCAAATCCATGCTTGACTTTTTTTTTCAGTTCAATTTCAAATCTGCTTTATGAGGTGCCTTATATAAATATTTGTGATCTTTAACCATAACTAAAAAATTCTGCCCACTTATTTACTGCAAAACTAAAAAGTTTCTACCCTAGAGTGCAATTACATGACTAAAAATTTGAGTTGTCTTACACAAAAGTGTGGTGTGAGAAATTTAAAGTGACACTTTTGTAATTGACACTGCTCACAAGGTTTATCATATTTACGAGTGATCCTTCCATATCATCTATGAATGAACATAAATAATTTCAAAAGAATTCTGGATAATATATTAAACACTAAACTCCATAAAAATCATAACACCATACAATGTAATATTTAGTTTCTTGCAATAAAATGCACAATTTACTCCAGGTGTTCACACCTTTGCTTAGATACTGTGTAATATCATCTATAAAGATAGAGAGCTATTGTTGTTTTTCATTTCTAACACCTGATATATTTGACTGTAAACTATTAGTATTCTTCAGAGATTTTATAAAACATTTATTATATGACACATGCTAAGAGTAAGATAAATGCAGAGATTTTATATTAAAAAATGACTTACATTGAGAAAACAATTATTAGTAGTGGTTATATTCTTCCACAAATACATGTAGCTAAACAGCAGAACATCAATAAGTTAACTGATATTGAAATAATGCAAGAAAAGACCTTTACTTGCAATGGTAAGATTAAAAAAACTAGTACATCTCTGATAATACCAAATGCTTGATTTTGAAATTCCCATTCAACTTTTAACACAGGTTCTCGCTCTGAACCAGAGGCAAAGTAGTGTTTTAGTTGGCAGGGTAAAAAACAAGAATTTATGATGATTGTACCTTGGAGGTATTGCATCAAACCATTTATGATGACTGTTTCTTGGAGGCATTGTATAAATCATTTATGATGACTGTTTCTTGAAGGCATTGTATAAACCATTCATGATGACTGTTTCTTGGAGGCATTGTATAAACCATTTATGATCATTGGAGATATTGTATACACCACTGGAGAGTCCTGAATCTGCTGTATCCAAATATGCAATCTACTTGGTAGTATTAGTAGTCATAGAGAAACAAGGTTTTGGACTGGCTGCACCACTTTACTAACATCAGTCACTCACAAAAAAATTGATTATCTATTTTTTGATTCTTAGACCAAATTATGTGACCTTTTTTAATTGTCTGTTTGAGGTTGGAAATCTTTTTCTTGATCATCTGATCTGAAGGAAGGCTACTACTACTACTACTACTACCACTACTGTCCTTGTCAGCACCAAACCTATTTTTTAAGTGTCACTATAACATCTTTGGGTTTGGTACATGGATTTGCCTCAACAAGGATTGTAAAAAGTTCATGATGATCGGATCCACAGCAGCTACACAGGTTACATGTAGAACATCTTGGAACCTTGCACATGGAGTTAGTAATACTGATTGATGGTGACATGCCAAAGGGTAGCAAAGTTCCAGTCGTGTTAAGCAGAGCTTGGAGTTATCTGCTGAAGATTTAGTAGGTTAATGTAGCAGACCCATCCGCTGCACAACAAGAAGTACAGTCATTAACTATGGGGTTTCTGTTGACAATGTGACCAGTCATATCTCAGTCACTTTCTGTCCTATTTGGAAACTATAAATTGTAATCATCATATCTCATCGTATGCTACATTCTATACGAGTTTCATCAAAACTGGATAAATTCCAGATATTTTACATCTGGTCCCTGCCACCGAGGTGATTCTGGATGAGGGAAAGATCCTGTGTTGGTAAATTCAGTACTTTTCATATATATTTTGTTCAAGTGTAGCAATAATTCCCATTCAAGCAATAAAAGATTCTCATTTAACTTTTTTACACTCTTGCAATTTTTATTCAAAACATTAAACAAAAACAAAACAATATTAGTTTACTTTGATATCACATAATTTCTAGGTGCATTAAAAGATATTAAGGCAGACTAAGACAAACCTGTATTTCTTTTATCACTGTTAACTCATTATCAAAGTGGGTTATGGATGACTGATCATGTTATTTTCACCTCTTTGAGAACTGAACAATGGTTATACTTTCTTTTACCTTCTCAAGACATTTTTAAATTTACAGGTTCAGAACAGAAGCCAGCTCATTATATTTTACTATAGTACCTAATGTTCTCAAAACAACAAAAAAAAAATGTTATCATTAATTTTTATGATGTTTACAATAATATGATCTTGTTCATTGAAAACTCTTCTCATTTTGTAGTAATGAAATATTATGACAAAACTGAACTAGTAGTGACCAATCTAATAAGAAAAAGTTAAATAACAAATTACAGATTGTCAATTCAGTTTGGTTTGTTGTTACGACAAACCTACACAACAAACTATCTGTGTTCTTCCCACTGTGGGTATCAAAGCATGATCTTTAGCATTATAAGTCCTCAGCCTTACTTGCTGAGCCACCAAGAGCAATTCATTTATTAAAAATTCTGTTCACAAAAGAAATAACTATTCATCCAATCAACACATTCTTATGTGTCAGCTCGTACAAACATGCACACTGTTTTTACGTGAAAGTCATTTATTTATCACACACAAAAACTATGAAACCAAATGTTACCTTGTAACACGGAATGCATAGGCTATTATGAACATAAATAGCTGCCGAAGCACCAAGTGACAAAAGATTACAACCGAGATAATGTTCACAAATGACATATTATCAAATTTTTGTTTAAAATGAAGACACTGCCAAGAAGCCTGTCATACTGTGTAATCATTTTCATAACTTACATACAAAGTACTTTGTTTATATGATAAGAAAGTGCCAAAAAGCCTACAAGACATATATTTTACTATACTTTCCATAGGATTTTCTCATTTATTTTCCAGGTAAAATTGACCAAAATTCATAAGTCTGTATCATGAAATATACTGTACATCTTGACAAATAGAAAAAACTTGTCATTTCACATTTTACATTCTATTAAAAACACTTCTCATCTATCATTATATTAAACTGATCTAGGAGGATTTATACTTGGAAAACAACAACAACAACAACAAAACTATTATATGCAAGTAAAAACCCAGTTCTTACTACAAAAGATAAGGTATTAAAGGTACTGATGTGTTCCAATAACAACATATCAACACAGTTTACTCTTTAAAAACAAATAGCTGTACTATTGTTTCACTCTCTTAGAAAAATGATTCATGAACAGAGAACTAATGAATAAGACTTTTATCTGCTTGAAAATTCAAATGTATTTGGATTTAATAACATGTTTAAACGCCTTTGTTGTATGTGCTTTGGATCTGTTTAGTGTATACATTTATTTTTTATGTTCAAGTAGAGAGAGAGAAACCAAATCTTCAAATTAAATGCTAATATTAGTTCTTTACTTATCCACATGCCTTGTTATCTAGTCCTTGGATCTCCTGTTGACTAGCTGTGGACAGGAGAAAGTTGTTAATCTGACTTTTGAGGGAATCATCCTGAAATAAATGAAGAACTAAAAAGTAGTCTCATGCTTTCTTTATAAAATTATTGGATGTGAAAAAAATAACAAACTTACAATACTTCATCACCACAAAACAGAATCTAACATATTCTAACAAAATTACAAACCCATCAGACAATATATTAAGTTATTAAGTAAATCCATATGCTATTAAAAAATACAAGTCACAATAATTACTACCAATTGTATATTAACAGAGTTTGAAATAATTTCTTTGTTCCAAAAATTATTTACAGTAAAATTATTGATTATAAAGATTTAAAGTCTAAAGAAATATTTAAGGAAGTAAACTGAAAACATAACCTCAATTTTAGCAATATCCTAGAATTGTAGCTTGAAGGGCAGGTTAGCTTTTAATGAATTCTACAAGTGAGGGGAAAAAAAGCAATGTTGACAGCTACTGAAAATAATGTATTATAGGTGTGGCAGTTAAAAACTGCCAGCTTTTATCCCTCCATAATTAAAATAGGCATTTATCTTTATCAGGGCTAGAAATTAGTGGAAAAGCTAACTGCAATTGTAAACAACAGTGAATATTATCAATAAAGAAAAAAAAAGCTGGCTACAAACACAACATTTATAAAAAACATAGACTTAACGTTTCATAGTTTATTGCCTACTATGGCAAACTATTCAGATGATACAAATTATTTTCTTATTGAATATATTGTTAAGTTTCATGCATTCAAACAAACAAACAAACACAAAAGCTTCTTATTAAATTTACTGCATTAACCACATATATAAAGACAACCCATTCTAAACGTCAACCATCCTGTTAGAAATATAAAACTGTCTTAGCTGAAGTTGACTCCTACCCTAACAAAATGTATGTGCCCTCTTGTCCTATCATTCTTACCATTAAGTATAAAAAGATATGATGAACCAATGCTAGCAATCCCTTAACGACATCAAACATCTCAATCAGATCCGCTCTAAGTTTTTTTTTTAAAGAAAACAATTTTAGAACTCTCAGATATTAACCTGTCCTCATATGACAACCTTTCCATCCCAATAACTGTCCATTCTATCCCAATAAATGTCCTTTCCATCCCAGTAACTGTCCATTCTATCCCAATAAATGTCCTTTCCATCCCAGTAACTGTCCATTCTATCCCAATAAATGTCCTTCCATCCCAATAACTGTCCATTACACCCATTCCAACAATCAATGTCCTTCTTAAGGTAAGAACCAAATGAGGCCTAACCAGTGAGCTATACAATGAAATTATAATCTCTTTAGACTTATATTCAATATTTCTGTAGATACAACCTAAGATCCTATTTGCCCTACCACTAGCAACAGCACACTGCTTGGATGGCTTAAGACACACTATTTTCCAGAATTGTGGATGTGACATGCAGGTTGTCCTGGGATAGAGAGAAGATGTAATACATATATCAGGGAGACTGGTGATCAATTTCCCAGCATTTATCCATTGTTTGGTTTTATGGCAATGTATAAACCAAGATGATACTGACAGACAAGACTTGAAGGTAGTACATCTCTTCAACATTATATTTGACCACAATTATGTGAAAATATACCAATAATAGCCAAAACTTTTTTAGGTGTGCAGGTTCAAAGATAAAAAATAACTAAAAAAGAAAAAAAAGTGGGCCCTAAAATCATCCCCAACTTTTCCAGGTTTTTGTTACTGACTTTTGGACTCCTACCATAAATTCCTTGGCTTTTCAAGGGATTGAAAGATCGTAGTTTAAAATGAACTTTGTCTGTTGGTTATAAACATGTACATCAAATAAGTACATATGGCTTGTAAATCTCAAGTTTTAACTACAGAAGGTGGGTGTGGCTTCTTCTGTCAGGGGGTGGAAAAATTTATTTCTTGTAGTCACTGAATTGATCCAAAGGAATTTGAAACTAGCATGGGTAAATAGCACAGCTAGCTTAGTTTCTGTCTAGATATACATTTACAGTTGTAGGTGTGGTATTATACAGACCAGTAGTTAAGATTTGTGAACACTTGCATGTGAGAACAAAACTGAAGATTAACTATTTTGTTTTAAGGTTTTTTTGAAATAAAGGAATTAAAACATAGTTAGTATAAAACTTTGAATTATAACATACATTATAATGCTAATTTTACTAACATACATTAAAAGTAAAATTGTTCAATTAAGTTTTGAATGTAACTCAGTAGAACTTCATGACATGTGCAGACAGGAGTTCAGAAAGTACAATGTTGTCAAAGGGTTAACTCCTAGCTCATACCGACTTTTACACATTTCATCACCATTTTTTCACTGTGGTATAATACACACACTAGGGGAGAGACAGCACAAAAATCTGATTACAAGCTTTCTTAAATTATCAACAGGATGGCCACAAATCTGGAAATGGTTATTTTAAAACTGACACACAGTGTTCATTACCAAGTATGTCTAACAGCCAGAGTATTTTTTGTTGATTTTGCTCTGAGTATCACTTAATGTTGTTTCTCACCTAGATACATATTAGTTAGACAGTTAAACTTATTTAGGTTTTATTTTAGTTAATTATATATTATTTATGTTTGTCTCACTTTTCTTGTTCTTTGAGTTTGATTTATTCTCCTGCAATATATTTTCTTTTAAACCTCTCATTGAACATACTTTTACCTGTTAATACCACAAAAGCCATGTGTATTACCTACTGGAGATAAGAATTAGTACAGAAATAAATAAATTCTGAAAATACTAAAATGTTTAAAAATACCTTTACAAAAAAAAAAAAAAAAGTGCCATCTTAACCAAACTCTGAATACTTTCCTCGTCCTTACAGCACTTTTGGAAACACATAGCAGAGAAAGAGTCAGAAACATACTCAAAGAGTTACTGTGATGATTCAATACAGTTGCTATCCCACATGACCTTGTGATTGACAGTATAATCTTCAACATTATACCCCAGTGAACTGGGATTAAATTTGTTAAACTAGATACACCTTAAATAATAAGATCAAAATATCTGTGAATTAACATATACAAATTATATCTATAAGCAAATCAAATGACTGATGATATTTATTTGTATAATGGCAACATAATATTTAAAAACAAGCAAAACTTGGACTTGTATACCTGTGCTACTGATATGGATTTTTGTATTATGAAACAGCGATAAACGTGACTGACTAAATGAATATTTTTGAATAAAATTATTCTTTCTTTTACTGAAGCATGTTAAGCTTTATAAACGTTTCAACTTACCACTTCTACATCAATATCATAACAAGATGTTTTCTTAGTATCTGGTCCTTCCACACTATAATAGAGCCAACCACAAAAAATCAGAATAATTACAGCAAATGCATTGCACAAATAGGAAGGCTTGTAAAAACAAAATAAAGAGAGTTGTAATTCACTGGAAATATTTTGAAAGAAAGAATCAGATGAATATATTCCCTAGACAGGTAAAATGGTGCTAAAAAATTATAGATGTAAGTTATGAACAAATTTTTGCTCTTTCAGGAAGATTTTTTTGTAGAATGCTCCTTTTCAGGACTCAGCATGGAGTTCAAAATATTGTGAATAACAAACCATAAAAACCTTCCTTAAATGTCGGCCATAGTGTCTAAATCATTATATCTTAATTACTACTTTTGTTACATAATTTTACTATAATCACAGCTTATATTAAAAAAGGATATGGTGTTATAAAACAGCTGGAACATCTGTGAACTGTAAAGTATGTATCTAAGTAGCACTGCCAACTAATGAATAAGATGTAACTTTTTTTTTACAGTTTTACAATGCAATATGAGGATAAACAATGCAACTTGATAATGTTTTTGTCTCGCACTCAATAAAGAGACAAAGATCCAACTAAAAACTTTAGATGTATTAACAATTACAGTTAAGAAAAACATTAAATTAAAACAACTGAAATTTTTAGCCTATATTTACGCAATGTAGTGTTTGTTGTTCCTAATTTGGAATACTTCTCGAGAGACAATGCTGCCAGGCAGTAGCACATGCCACCACAAGAGCCTTGTCAAACTTTTTGAACCAAATAATAAGATAATCTGTCAGTTCATTGCCCCAAAAGGGGACCAATGTCTACCTGGAGGGTGTCACCTATTCTAACCACTCGCACCACTATACAGTAGTGTTGTCTGTCAATCAGTCAGTAGACACTAAAATGACGTCACATAACAGATGCTTAACATTACAATATGTACTATCATGATGTCATTAAATGTGAGAAAGCCATGAATCATGATAAGAATTATGCACTCTGTAGGCTACAACATAACATATGAACTTGAAAAGCAAGAAATAAATATATTTCTTAACTCTTAATTTTGATTTTATTTAACTCTTGAAATAGAACACTTTCAGTGACCCTGTGCAAGTATATCTAGTGTGTATATAAATATATGTATGCTCAAAGCTGAAATTGCAGTATGTGTACAATAGCATCACATCTAAAAAGTAAGAGTTTTCTATCAGCAACTTTACATACAAATCATAAGATGCTAGATAATTGAATTTTTAAAAAGCTCACCTGATGACATGGTTGATAACAATGGGTTCTGGAGGGTGTAGAAGTTGATGCAAACGCTGAGGAATTTCTGCAAACTTAAGTCTTGAACACTGGAAGATCTTTGAAAGTTTGAAACAAAGTTACACTGTATTCATAATACCTTTTGAAAGTTATGAAACTTTAAATATTTATCACTTGTAAAAATGAACTATTAAAACATTAAAATAATTTTTTTGCTACAAGAGTCGAAAGTACATTTCTGATATAATTAAATTATAATACATAAATTTATCTGTCTTAAAAATTAGATTAAAAACAACAGATTTGTTTCAGTGACGAATGAGAAGTGAGAACCTTCCAGAACAACCACATTTAAAATTGTAAAAATAATATTTACAGCAATATATTAAATTATATATATATAAAGGTAAAATGGAAAATATCACAGGATGAGAAATATGTACCTGTTCTAGATACTTGTCACAATTGATATACTCTCGTTCATGAGCATCTTGCAACTTGTGAGATTTGATATACTGCCACAGAGCATTAATAATAACTGGCCGTGTCTGAGTGTGAATACCCAGAAGTCTGGCTAGTCGAGGGTCCAACTTAAACTGTAGAGGCTATAATTGATGAAGGAATGCAAAGTATTCATTAGAGGAAAAAAAATCAACAACATAAATAAATACAATTAGATACAGATTTTGTTATATTTTTTGTAGGAAGAAGCACTATGATAATTTATAACTAAATCTGTCTATCATACCAAGATTTAAATTACTCTAAATCTGATTTTGAGAACCAGGATATGTGAGATTTTCTAATTTCGACAACTTTGGGATAATCTTTAAATGCTTAATGAATACTTCAAAAACAACTTTTGTAATAAATTCTATACAGTTTTCAAGCATTTCCCACAAAATTAAATTCTTAGTTCAAACCAATGATAAAAACATTTTTTTTTACATTCTTTAAACTACAAACTACCACATTTTTATACCATTCACATATTATAGTGTAATCTTTTCACTGCTGCAAAGGCAATGTGAATACATCAATTTTCTATTCATATTATATATAAATTAACTTGTCAAAAGAAAGAAAACAATTATATATATAGAGAGAAAAATAGCAATTAGTAAAGGGAAATGGTAACTAGTTTTAACTACATGCAACTGCAATTGAAAGATTTACTTAGCTTTGTCAAGAGTTGTAGTTTGGCCATCTTGAATTCATATAATTATTTAGTAGACAAATGCTTATTTATTGCCATGAAAACCTAGTCAAATAACTAGAAGGCGTATTGTTGAGAGTATCTAAAATACTTCTGGTAAGGATGCCAAGTTTTTTATTGGAAATGAGAGTGAAAAGTGTGGTAAAGATGTTGACAATGTTGTTTACGCTGAAGAAAAATCAGAAGATTCAGAGACTATAGATATGACCATAGATCAAGAAGAGGAGATCATTGAAGAAAATGAGCCTCAAAAATAAAAGTACAAGAATCTTTTAACACTTTCAGGGTGGAAAAATGCAAAACTGACACCTTCAAACATTATTACTTTTCAGGTTCTGATGGTATTATAGTTGACACATCAGGATTTCAGCCAACTGAATATTTGAACCCACTCGTAAATGAGGATTTTATCAATGATTTGGCACGTAAAATACACACTTATGCACATTAATTTTTATAATGAGAATAATCTGGGAAGAAGGTCTCATGTTAGAGAATATCTGACAATCAATTGAAAAATAAAATCGTATTGGTTTGAAAGTTCTTATATGTATTATTAAGAAACATAAGACTGCAATTTACGGGTCAACTGATCCACTGCATATTATTCTTACTTAACATTTCAAAGCTGTGGTGAAAAGAGACAGATATAAACAGAAATTTTTGCACTCAAACGTAATGAAAACGTGTCTTAATGATCCTAGTGCTGATAGGCTTTACAAGACCATACCATCTACTTATATAATTCCAAGAGGCATATCAACCTATTCAACATATCTGCACCGATGAATCCGTCTTTGGGAAGACTACAATTCAAGTAGTATATTCCTATAAACTGAGCATGGTCTGGAAGAGAAAAAGTTAATGTTTTGTGAAAATTAAGGCTACATCTTGAATATACACAGGCAATACAAAACATTCCTGCAGACAACTCAGATTTTCTGATCTCTGACAGAACAGTATTTGATCTGATGACATAATCAAATCTCAGAAATGATATTTATGTTGACAACTGGTATATAAGTAATGTTCTTTTTTCAAAACCTGACCGAAAATAGTACTTTTCCATGTAGCACAATCAGAAAAAATCAGAAAGGATTTCTAGCTGAAGTAAGTAATGATAAGATCAAGAAAGAAAAAGCTGTTGCATATACATCAAATGAGCTCTTACCCATAAAATTCAAAGATAACAGTGATGTCTTCATTCTAAAATCCACTCATAATATATAAATGCATAACATTATAAGTAGAACAGAAACAGGCCCCCTCCTAAAGTCCAAGTGTATTTTGGATTACAACATGTGTATGGAAGGAAATGACAGTACATATCAACTGTTAGAACCCTTCAAAATCTCAAGGAAAACCCTGAAATGGTATAAGAAAATGGTTCTCAATCTAATTAAGTTTGCCATTCTGAAGAGTCATTTGGTATACAAAAGAATAGGAGCAAGATGTCATTGGTTTATTTTCAACTTGATATTATTATCTTGTTGACCTTTCAAGAAGAGAATCCAGTGTACAACTGATAGAGAAGCATTTCAAAGCCATAATACTGTAACCTACAGAAGAGAATCCATTGTACAACTGATTAAGAACCACTTCCAAACCACAATACTGTAACCTACAGAAGGGAATTAGTGAACTGTGCTTCTACCCATGCTTTCAAATATCAATATGAATCTTGATAGATGGGGAAAATTACTCAAAAACCAATGAAAAATTATTAACCTGCATAGAGATTCATATTTATTATTATTCTAATTTTAGAGAGGTGTTACTTAAACTACATTTTATACTGTAATTCAGGAGAGGTAATGTATTTGGTTCAAATATATCACATAGAGTACCATTACTGGGAGTGTATTTGTTAGAAAATAATGTAGAGAATAAATTGTATTGCATATAGTATGCAATATCTGTAGATATTAGCCTTTAATAAACAATTAATCGAGTTGTCATAAATTCTGCAAATCTGCTCTGTTCACATAAGTGATGGCAGTGAAATAGTTAAGAAATTTTGTTTCTTCCTACTACAAAATTTGATTTAAAGAACCAAGAAGGAAATTTATAGAAATTTGTATTTCTTTTTAAATAAAATATTGAAAATAAGTAAAATAGTTAGAGAATATTTTATGGTAGGGTGAAATTATAGACTCCCAATTGAATAAAAAATGCTTTTTCTAATGTGTCATTCAAAAACGTAAGAGTGAAAGTAAAGAGAAATATGCAATAATATGTCAACCACACTATATCTGCCAAATCCAGTGTCAATGGGGCCTTTTGCCCAATACCAGAATTCATCAGGCCTTAAAAAAACAAACAAGAAAATCAGACATATCTTAAGATAATCTTATTTTCATTACTTGATTTAAACTAAAACATTGGGATATCAGCTGTGTCCACTGTGGGTAAATGAAGCCCAGACTTTTGTGTACTAAGTCCAAAAGTTACCACAGTCTCATCAGAAGACATTTTTTTCCATTATAACTTGATCTCTTCAATGCTTTTAATAGTTGGGCTACATTTATTCTACAAATATTTTTTTCTTTTTTTAATATCACATATGCAGATTCAAATGTATTGCTATGAGGTCCAAATTTCAAAAAAAAAAAGAAAAAATACAAAATGGCATGTGACACCAAACAAATGATTTTTTCATTTCTATTTGAGCCAATATTACAAATGTAAACAGAGTTTTACTTGTGAACGTTTGTTTCCAACATGAGGTCTATAGCCATGCCATTTGTATTGCAAAAATGTATTCTACAAGCACCTTATTATCATAAACCCTATGTGTAAATCTTGCATGGTCACTTTTTTTTTATTGGAATATCTCACTATCATTTAGTAGCAGTGTACATACACAATAACAATGTGAAATACCTCTTTTGCATTATACTTATAATTATTGTATGAAGATAAAAGGCTATTACAAGATTACTTAAATAGACTTGTCTAAATAGGAGTCATATAACAGTGTCTGAGTGTAAGAATGATGATGAAATATGGTTTTATTGTTGACTAAAAAAAAAAATTTTGACTAAACTATGCTTTCTATTATTACAGTCAATTGGGAAAATAAAAGTAAACATACTTGATAATCTAGCAATAACAAGATGGTGCAGCGAACATTTTTATCTCCTGGACGCTTTACTTGGAACCCATCTGTTTCTGTTGTTGTTGGAGTACGATGCCACTATAAAAAAAAATAATCCTTTTTTTTTGGAAAGTGAACTATTAACAGCTAATTCTATTGAGAAGATTGATTATGTTGATATTCTACATGAAACTCTAAAACTATCAGTTCCACAATATGAGCAATGCTTTTTCTACAGTAGATGGAAAACAGTCCTCAGATATACAACTTTTTAAAATTATTTCAACATTTTAAAATTTACATGACAGGTACAATATTAATAATGTACAATGACATAGGTGTGCAACAAATGAAACACTCTTTATGTTATACACAAATATATAAAAATAAAATAAATTACTTAACACAGTACATTTGAGAAAATTAAAATTTTCAAAATTCATATCTTACAAAATGAATACCTAATTATGTTACAGAAGCCATCTTTGGCTTGGATGATATACAAAGAGCTCTAAACACATTTAAAGATATAGCTTCAGGTCCGTACGGTATAAGAATATGCACCTATGAAAATCTTGCAAAAGCCAACTTGTTGAAGTTAGTGTTGTAGTATCAACACATTTCAACAACAGGTAGCATCTCTAGAATATGGACTGACAACTCTACCAAATTCTTATCCAAACCAATAAAAGATCACTTTCATCATAAAGGCTATCAAATCATCATCCTACAAAACATCTTTGGCGAGATCCTAAAAAAGTCTTACCTATAAGACTGAACCACTATAATAGTCATCATCTAATAGTTGTCAGTTATGCTGAATTCACAGTCAATACATGGAAATGCTTTAAAACTGACCAGAACACCTTGGTAGTAGCTTTAGACCAAGAAGGTGCCTATAAAAGATTCCGGTAACCCATTCTTGTTGTAAGAAAATGCTCCTAGATGGCATCAATACAATGTGTTACATGACTTGTAATAGTACTAACAACCAGAAGATGTACCATGAAGCATGAAAGTGGCAATCAGACTTGATCACAATTGAGACTGGTCTACTTCAATGATCACCACTCTCACCAGTCCTCTTTAACATGTACACCATGGATATAGCAAGCCTTGATAATCAAACTAGGTGGTAATATATGCTGACAACATTTTGGTGTACAGTGGAGGCTATAACAAAGCTAAAAATTGAATAGTGCAGTGTCATGGGAATGGTCATCATCATTCCTTAAAAAACCACAGCCTTGTTCAGGTGAACTCAACAACAAACATACTGATGAGGAAAACACACCACTATCCCTCCCAAAGAAACTGAAGTACTTAGGGGTAACCTTTGACAGAAAACTAAACTTCAACAGTCACATTAACATCTTAATAATCAGAGCTACCAAATGTTTCAATGCACAGAAATTTGCAACAGGAAATAAAGCTGAAGAATTCATCTGATTATGCTCTACCAAAGTCTTGTACTTTCCATCCTGAATTATGTGCTAACAATGATCAATATGAATATTACACGGCTAGATACGATTGAGATGATATAAAAGACCTGTTTAAGACTGGTCATGGGATGTACTTCAACCATTCCCATCAAAGCCCTATTATACCTCACAAGCCTCAACACCATTTAGAAGCAAAATGCTTCACAAGGGCCTTGCAGTATATGTTCCAGTTCAATAACCCGACAGACACCAATGAAGCAGGGAAATGCCTAAAAGACAACTCTTGACACATTCATAGGTAAAAAAAAAAAAAACTATACAGCACCACTGAAATAAATGGTCACCACCAGATTTCAGATGCTCCATGTGAAACAAACATCTGATGACACTGGAAATCAGCCTAAACATACAATGTAGAGACTGGACAGAGGGTAAGAGGCAAAAATCCTGACAGTATCTATTGAAAGACAATAGTGAACATTCACCTGTCACAGATGGTTCCTACATCACAGAAAGAAAGAGAGCTAGTTGGACATTCATGATCTCATGGAGCAACAACATTCTGTAAAAGGCTGGTGGAGCATTGAAGCTTTGCACAAACAGTACAAAGATGGAATTAAAAACTATAAAGCAAGCTCCTTTTTTCTGGATTGCTGAAAGCAATGAACCACAAATAGACAGTGGCACGAACATAATATTTGTGATTGACTCATAGGCACTAAGTAAAGATAATTGTGGTTGGTCTCCAGATGGATGGCAAAAAACAAAGCAACTGAACAGTAAGACCATCATTTAGATGTATTTGCCAGACTACAATGTGGTAAAGCTAAATTAGGAAGTTGACAACCTCGCAAGAAAAGTCCCTTTATCAAATCCTGCATATATGCTACTTCTCTGCACTAATAAAGTGAAAGTGGCAACTATGAAAGGTTTTCAATGACATTCATAGAAATGAGACTTCTGGAAAACAAAGAACCATACAGTGTAGTTAGGAAAAGCAAAAGACAGGGAATCAAAAGAATAGTATACACCAGATGGTTACCAATAACATCAATAAAGGAACTTTCTTTTAACTCTTCTATGACAGACAGCCTCACAACAGGGGGTAAATGCCCATTTGTGCAACACCTGGGATTGTCACCTAGTACCCAACTCAATATCTTGTACTTTTTGATTGAATTCTGTACAATTCCTAAAACAGAATTCTGTATGGTAAGTCAAAAAATTCATTGTCAGAGATTTTGTAGCTTTTTTTATTGTTGTCAATAAACCTGTTACTTATAATTTAAAATGCCTGTAGTTATGAAGAGTTATGCATCTGTCTTTTTTCACAGTAGTTTCTCTCATAAAAGTAACACTGAGTTAAAAACTTTTGTCTTTTCCAGAATCATAATCCTTGTTATGATAATAAACTTTCTAGCTATTCAAAACAACTAAAACAAATGGACACTACAAATATAAAAGGAAATCATTTACATACATAACTTTTTTCTAGTATTTACAAAAAATCTGATTTGTATTACATACATATATAACTTTATTTATTCCACTTATGTTTCTTACCTCTACTAAATGATTATCTGGTCCATACAGTTCTTTGTCTAACTCAATAACCAAGCTCTTGAAAAAAGAAGAAAATTTCCGCTTCACTTGTTTTTGATCAGACTTTGGAACACTTGGCTATATAAATAAGAAAAATAACAGAGATTACTCAGGCAAGTTAAAGAAGACATGTTGATATAAATTCTTTATGGCCAAATAAAACTTCTATCAAATACAAGTATTCTGTTTCTATTATTGACACATCACACAAAAAACTAAGTTTAAATGCATAAAACCAGAGTTCTGACAGATCAACCATATTCTTCTGTGGTTTAAAAGAAGATTGTTGACCTGTCAAAACATCTATTTATTTGAAGTTAAAGTTTTCTCTCTAGTGTATTAAAGACAGAAATAATGTCTTATATTTGGTAACTATTTTAAGTTAAATTCTTTACATTGAAAAGCTTAAACACCAGAGTCAAGTTCCAACGAAATCAAAATATTTACTAATAGTTAAACAGTTGTAAAAAACTTATCTAGCCAAATTATGGATTTAAAATAACATCATTTTTACAATGTTAAGCAAGTCTTAAAAACCTTTAGACCTCTATATTTCTATTAACCAAATGTTCTTGAGATAATTTTGCAATTAAAAAGATATACAGATGTCAATGTGACTTTTGTAAGTAGAGCTAAGTTAAATTTTTATACAGCAAAAACTAAAACATTTTTTCTCATTCCTTTACTTTTTTGTATTGATGACTCATAATTATATGTAACTAACTAATTATATAGTGATTAGAATAGTTCAGTATTTTGGAGGAATGGAAGAGATTAATGTCACAAGGATTTGTTAATTACTTCTGATTTTAACAATTAAACTTTTCAAAGCTAATGAAACTAAAAATAAAACTTGCACCAACACTAAGAAAATGTTTGCCATTTTCCCCTATTAAGGTAGGCAACACCTTTGCCAGTAAGGTACTTTAAAAAGAGCTACAAAAACAGTTCAAGTAACATGAGTGTAATGGAATTCACAAATTCTACCAATAATAATTTTTCATCATTTCCCAGCATTCTACTCGTCATGCACTGTGTAAATTGTCACTCAATCGTGTTATACTTGTTATTATAAATATATTTTTACACTATTTTGTACTCCTCTGTGCTTATCAAATTGAAATTTGAAATGAAGTTATAAAATGTAAACAAATAAATGCTTTAACTTACCTAATGCACTGCAAGTTTCGGAATTAATCACAATTAT